GACTGCCACCACAACCACTTACACATCTGTAGGGCTTCCAATGGCAGGATTGCCAACCACTTACACATCTATAGGGCTCCCAGTGCCTGGACTGCCACCACAACCACTTACACTTCTATAGGGCTACAAGTGCCAGGATTGCCACCACAACCCCTAACACATCTGTAGGGCTCCCAGTGCCCAGACTGCCACCACAACCACTTACACATCTATAGGGCTCCCAGTGCCAGGATTGCCACCACAACCACTTATACATCTATAGGGCTCCCAGAGGGAGGGTATATGTCTTCAAGATTCTGTGGACTGCAACTCCCATGATTATCAACTTATCAAGTTGAGCCTGAAGTCCCCTGCTCCTAAGCCCCTCAAACCCAACACTCTGTAATCATTCAGTGTGGGACCAATATATATATGCAGGGCTGGACTGGCCACCGGGATACTGGAAAATTTCCCGGTGGGCCGGCATACTATCGGGCCACTGCGCGGCTACCTAGTGCATACCGGCTTCTGTTCCCCTACCCGGTCTGACAGGAAGTGCTCACAGACATGACTGCTTACTGTCAGACCGGGTAGGGGAACAGATTCTCCTCTACCGTGGTCTGCCTGCTTGGCCACACTACAGCAAGGTACAGGGAGAGGGGGTGGGAGGGGGACTACAATGGGACACATGGGGGCTTTAATGGGACATATGGGGGCTACGGGGTTATAGGGACACAAGGGGGCTGGGGAGAGGGCTATAGGGACACATCAAAGGCTTTATGGGGGTATAGGGACACATGGAGGGCTGGGTCGGCAATAGGGACACATGAAGGGATGGAGGGGGTATAGGGACACATGAAGGGCTGGGATGGGGTATAGAGACACATGAAGGACTGGGAGGAGGGACTAGTGGAGGGCTGGGAGAGAGGACTAATAGGACACATGGACTGCTTGGTGCTAATGGGACACATGGGGGGGCTCATGGGACACATGTGGGGATGCTACTTAGACACATGAGAGGGCTAATAAGACATACAGGGCTGGGAGGGGGCTCATGAGATGCATGGAGGGCTGGGAGGGGGTATAGGGACTCATGGAGTGCTGGGGGTATAGGGACTCATGGAGGGCTGAGAGGGAGGGTTAATATGACACATGGAGGGGCTGGAGGGTAATGAGACACATGGAGGGGCAAGGGAGTAAAAGGGGAGAAAAAATACACAGAGGGGTCTGGGGTGAAAGAGACAGAGGGACTGGGGAAGGGGAGAATGAGACACACACAGGAGCTGTGGGGAAAGAGACACATAAAACGGGCTTGGGGGAGAAAGACACAAACAAGGTGCATCTTCACTTGTGTCTCCTGCTCTCTCTGTAATTTAGAGTTGACCGACGAGAGAAAGACTTTGTATTAAAGGGACACAATAGTCACCAGAACTACTACAGTTTAATGTAGTGGTTCTGGTGTCTATAGCATGTCCCTGTAGGCTGAGCACTGTAAATGCTACCTTTTCAGAGAAAAGACAGTGTTTACATTGCTGCCTAGGAACATCTCTAGTGACAGTCACTCAGACGGCCACTAGAGCTGCTTCCTAGTCCAGTGCTGCACAGTGTGCAGCACCTATGTTGAATATCTCCACTCTCTGCATGGAGGCACTGGACGCTCCCCATAGAGATGCATTGATGCAATGTATCTCTATGAAGAGTTGCTGATTGGTGCGGTGAAGCACAGCATTCTGCCACACATGCGCAATAACCTCCCAATGCTTTCCTACAGGAATTGAATTGACGTTGACTGAGATCATCCAGTTGTCAGACAAAGTGAAGAGCACACACTTGTTACTCCAAAATGAGCAAGATAACATATTTTTTTTACTGCTGTGCAATAGCATTCATTCACAATTTCAGTCCAATTACGAAACTTTCCTTAATATGTCAAGGTACTGTAGTTGTACTGAAACATTGATTATATGCAAATGCACGATTGCTTACAATAAATCCGCTTTTTTGTTTATTTTGAAGCCCTATGAGTGCTTTCTTTCACGTTTGAGTGATAGTTTTCAGTTTTCAGTTTTTTTTTTCCCGCTTTTATATCTGCACACTATGCTGGCGCGATACATTATGGAGCTGGTATAGAATACATTTCCAGGGCTTCTTTTCATTCCCAGTCCGGCCCTGTATATTTGGCCTCTGCTGATTAAAAAATGTGTTCAAATAAAGTGTCTAATAAATATGTATGGCAGTAATCAACCAAAAATATCAAATGACCACAGAGGGGCATTTTCGCTTTAGGGTTTGTAAAGGTATTAGTAGGGTACAACTTTCCTGTTTGTAGAAAGAGCATTAGGCATGCACAGTTATTAACCGAAATTACCCATGTAATGAAAATTCTAGGCTCCTAAAAAAGTGGGGAATATAACTAAAATATAAAAGAGAGTGACAGAGATTTGGGGAGCAGATTATTAACACTTAGGATGTATGCTAGTGTCCCCTTTCTCCATGTTTCTTTTACACTTTTTTTTCCTATCTTACACTCTTTTTTTCCTATTGAGTTGCGTACAAGTTATTTGTCCTCTCACCTCCATTTATCAGTAATTAAAGGTCAACTAGTCATGCATGGCTGCAAGGTGATTCATGGGAAAGCACTTTTCTGACTGTAGTTTTAAGGTCTTCTAAAGCAAACATTGCACTTAGCTACAGCAGCTAAGCATACTGGGTATTTTGGTGTACGTTGAATGATCCTGACCTTCTGATTTTAATATAGCACTGCCTAGGTGATAGGGCCCAAGGAGTTATATATTGCACTCACACATTACTATGTGGGACAGACATAGAAAAACCTTAAATCCTCTTGTTGTGATTTCAAATCAGCATGGATCCGGATGTTACACTAACAATGAAGTATACAAAAGATGGTGCAGAACATTCTCTAATCCATATGAAAAAAAAATGTATTGCACTTTAACTTATATAAAATATTATCAGCATATCATAGATAACATTAACCAGTCTTCTACATAAATGATACGGCCACACCCTATGCGTTTCACCACTAAGACTCTTCATTAATTTCCCATAAATAGATATTCAGAATAATACATCCAATAAAAACAGAATTTAAACTCCGGTGCAACAGAAAACAAGCACATAAACATTCCGGAAACATCATTCTTTAAATACCCGTCCTTTCCCATTCGCAGAATCCGACAATATTCAGCCAATCGGGATTGCAGTGTGGGTCAGGATGTGAGCGGCCAAGGACCCTCATTCAGTTTAAACTATTCAAAATGTTTTAACACTGATTGGAGGCACAGTGCCAGAAGACGCTAAGCACTTTAACCAATTTAATGATAGATTAGTGCCTATAGTGTCCCTTTAAGTCCTCTCTTTTGCATATACATTATGTATATTCTCAGTAACTCTGTAAATCAAAATGGTAATATGTGTATCCCCCTGAGAATTATCAGTTGCACGTCAGTGGTGAAATCCAATTATATTTGAATGGCTGGATTGCTATAAGTCCTGTGCATAAGGAACCTGTCTGGCATTTTTGGTTCTGGACTGCACTTGTGGATAGGGGTGAGTCAAATATCCAAATGCTATAGGTTCCATAGTACTGGCACAAGTGGTCTTGGCTTATATGAGACCTGAACAGGAACTAAAAAAGCTAAAAATGCTACTCAGATTTAATGTGTTCTATTACATACGCTTTTCATTTGTTTAGATTTTTTTTAATGATTTCTAAGCAAATATATTTTTTTAACTCACTAATTAAATGTAAACCTGACCCATAGCCCATTTAATTGGATGCTTATCCATAATGCATTCCTAAGGATAGCAATGAATCCAACATAGTGCCTTAGTATTCCATTTCCATGAGCATTTCCTATATCTCACACTGATAATATATTCAATTATAATTGCAGAAAGGACATACAGTGAAGTGTGGCACGGAGATATATTTACAAAAAAAAAGAATCACAAATGGAATAGAAGCAAAATATACACAAAATTAAATTAAAAGAAAAAAAATCTGATTTATTGAAAAAAAGTTGATAATTTATGCCATTTATGCCTTATGTTGTTCTCCTAATTTAATACACTATTTAGATAGTGCATATACACAATGCAACAATAATGAGTTAAAAAAAATAAAAAACGTAATGATGATGTTGTTTGAGGGTACAAGCACACACATCTCTGACCATGAATGGACTCCACCAAATCAAAAGCCGTCATTTTGGACTATCTAGTTCAGACATCTCAAATTTCGCCTCCAGATGTTGCTGAACTACAACTCCCATAATTCTCTGGCAATCTAATGTGTTCAGTGGATTCTGGCAGTTGAAGGACATCAACATCTGGGTGACCATGGATTGAGGTCCCGGATTTAGCATCATCTTGTGGTTTATGTGATAGGTGACTGGGCTTGCCCAATAAACTAATAGTTTAGATAGTTTGTATTTTGCGTAACCTGAGAAGTGAATTTCATTCCCCCACAAATACCTCTCTTGCAGAGAACCACTGCTATGCATGTCATGGTAGCACACACAAGTTCTTTAGAGTGCTCATGGAGATCACCTCTATCCCCCTCAATTTCGAAAGTACTGGAGCGGTTGGCTAGCAAAATAATATATGATGAGATGTCTCATACACTCTCTGTCTCGCCAATGGTTTGACAAAGCCTGATCTCAGTGGTATAAGGTTGTGGTTTAATGGTGGTAGGTTATAGCTATGGCCTAGATAACTGCTTGAATGTCTGTGTGGATACTACAGGACAAGATGTTCTAACACTTTAGTTATGTTCCTTTAATCAAAATTCTCCAATTGCATAACCAGTATCTGTACGTTCATTTTGTTGTACTGTTCTTTTTATAAAACACTCAATAAAGATTAAATATATATTTTTTAAATAATGACACGCCTCCTTACCTATGTAAAAAAAAACTCACTAAGTGTCTCTTTAAGAAGAAGGCCACTGTTTTGCTTTAGGGGAACGTATTCTCAAAAAGGAATATAAATTTGACCATGGCCCTAGAGCTTACATTTTCTGTAGTCATAAAATAAAACTGGGTCACCTTCTCCCAAGACGCTCAGAAGACACAACTGGAAGATGTCAAAAGACCAAATGTGCTTGAAGTGAGAAGGATAAGCTGAGGCTCTTGTGGGTATGAGCAAGGATAGCCTTTGTGTGTATGTTGCCATATGTTAGAATGAACTTATTTTAATTTGCAGAAATAAATTCATATTTTATTATGGTAAAGGGGTTCTTGATGGTCATATCATCCTGGAGCCCTACATATTTTGAGATGCCACTACCAAGAGGAGAAAACATCCCCAATGTGAAAAAAAAAGAAATTGTGATAAAAGGCAGGATATTGCATCTTAAAACAAAATTAGATTAATATTACTTGGCAATTAATTAGTGGAATCTAAACTAAATTTTGTGTTAATAAATTTGGGGCAAATTTAGAACAAAATATTGTGTTCCCCCTTACTAGGAAATATTGTAAATTGCTCATTTTACATGGTATGCAGCCATTAATTGGGACAAACCGGGCCTCCGATCTGCTTACAGTCTGTAAACAAAAGCATCAAATTTATCAAGAAAAACACCCTGTAGCTTCGAAAGCTCTGTGCATTGTATCTTCAGTGCAGCTGGATTCATTGGTAAAAAAAAATCTCCATTCATGGCAAGACTTGAACTGAAGATTAATCATAGAATAATACCCTTACATCAGGAAACTCATGAAAACGAACAGGACTCCAATACCCCATCCAACATATTCCGATACAGGAGGCCCATCCTCCCTCCCACTGACCCAAAGAGCTTACACTCTAATTGGATGCAAGCGGAGTAATCGACCAAGATCCCTGGAATCTCTAAACATAAACGGAGATCGGATTCTCATTTAGCAAAGCTAGCCCAAAGATTTGTGTTGAATTTTAAGAGGTGCCTGCAGCTCTCTCCCACTTTTAACCCTTTAAGTTTAATGCATAGCCAAAAATTGCAAATCTGTGCCATATTTACAGAAATTAAACAAAATCAAGATGTATTAATATTTTTATAAACTTCACTGAAGAAATGGAATTGCACACGCTCGGACTAATATAAACTAGAAAAAACAAACATATTTTACTTTGGAGTGAAACATTTTTAAATATCAATGAAACACTTCACTTAAAAAAAAAAAAAAAAAAAAAAACCAATAAAAAAAACCACCAACATATATTCCCAAATATAGCATTAATGTTTAGTGACCCAGCAGTGTTAAGCCACTAGCACAGATATTTAAGTTGTCTATTGATCTGTGCACAGAGTCCTTAACCTCTACACCCTATCCTGGCACTAGCTGCAAATTCTTAGTCTCCTCAACCTCCCACCGATCTTGAACTCAGCACTTACAGTTTATTTGTCAGCCCCCACCCATCATCTTCCCCCCTGTATCAACCCCTCCAAATGAATGAATAATTTATGCAAATCTAAATCCCTTTTGGTATTAATGAAAGCAAAACAAGATATCCCACGCACAGCTCATCTCTTTTAGAACCCTGTCTCCCTTAAGATTCCATAGAATCCCCCAGATCAGGATTTCCTCACTGGGGGTGCTGTGTATTCCCCCACCCCTCATCCTGGTACTACCTTCTACCACCCCCTCCTTCACCCATATGCTCCCATTGCTGCACAATCTGCTTTGCATCAATCCAAGTATTTGCCTGATCAGATAGAGAGAGTCCAAGATACTGTCTCACAGCTCTGTCATCAGCAAGGCAGACACAGAAGAGGCTGGGGTCACTAGTGATGGACAACACTCCTCTTCTTCACAAGTCCGGAGAGAGGCTGTGAGACCCCTGCCTCTCGCAATTATTCATGTGATTCTGTTCTCACTGCCCCCCTCTCCTTCCCTCCATCAGCAGCTTGCTCTCAGCCCTTGCCTGCCCCCCCTCTCCCTCTCTCTCTCTCTCTCTCTCTCCTTCTCTCCCTCTCAGTCTCTCCTCTGTTGCATTCCTTGCCAGAAGCTCCCAGTTCCTCTCGGATCTTGTTTTGCTGGGTTGGAGTGTACAGGACTTTAAGATGCTGTTGGATCCTCTATAACGTTTCCATGTGACAGTTCTTTTTTTTCTGTTTAATATTCTTCTTGCAAGAGCTGAAGATTCAACCCAGGTAAGGACACCAGCTTCCCTTCCACCCTGAAGAGATTTCTGTCTGTCTCCCTGTCTCATTGCATTTTTTTCCCCTTGCCTTCTTGGTTATTTTGAGAGTTGAGTGGTTCTTCAGGATGCCACCCTGGACCTTGGACCACTGGAAGCTCCTTGGAGAAGGAGGTGGGGAAAGGTATCCACTTCTAGAGGAACTTGGGATCTAGGTACTCCATGGACCTATTTTTTTTTTTTTTGCTTGTCCACTCAGCAATTGCTTAGCAGCAGTGAGAGCCACAGTGGAGCTATACAAGCCCAATTCCCACTTCCCCTGGAGGAAGGATTACATGGATGGGGTGTTCTGGCTGCTAGTATTTGGCTTTCTGGTTTATGTGAGAGTAACAAACCTTGGCTTCCTATATTTTACTGGTTCATCTTTCATAATTATTTTTCCCTTTGTATTATCTCGATTTGGTCACAGTTCTCATTTTGGGGTCTGTTCTGGAACCCTTAACTCTGGGTAAGGCTGCGTCTGATGGAGATGCCATGATTAAAACACAAAATAATAATGCATCCATGCAGAGGAAGAGGTGCCTGGGGGAGATAACCAGGAGCACATAAAGCCGGTTCTCGTTGTAATGATCTCTTCGTTAACCCTTTCTGTGCCGGGAGGCATACCAGGGAACATGCCCTCAGGGTTTGTGGTACCCGTAGTGGGACTGGGTTATGTTTTTCACCCTGTACCGGAGGGGTTTTTACATATGCATGTCAGAGTCGTAGCCAATGCTGTACTGGGCACTCCGGCAGAGAAAGGGTTAACGTCCCTGGGTCTAGAATGAGATGTGAAGACGTGGGAGGCAAACTCCCTGTGCTGGACGTGAACTGGTTAACCAGGTGATCATCAGGCTTCTGCTGCATGCACACTTATTCCATAGTAAAGGGATCCCATCCTAAACCTGGTTAGTACCGAAAGGGTTAATCATATGTTTTTAATATTTCTTGATTCTTTTTTTGGAGGGGGGCTGGTGGGGGGTTAAGGGGGGATGGTAGTGGATGGCTGGTAGCCAGAAAAAAAACAAACAAGCTTTTATTCCCTAGGAGTACTTTGCAACCTCCCTTGGTAGTTAGAGGGTTAACGGCCTAAAAGAGTCCTTTAGTGAGACATTGTAGCTAATCCTTTCGCCATGTAAAGGTCTCGCTACGGATCCAGATCTCTTCCATCCGTTGTCTTGTGTAATATGTTTAATATTTTATAGCAAGAACACGTCCTGTAGCTAAGAAGCATCCTTAGGGTATCATTATTAAAAAACCTCCTGCTTGTAATAGATGGGGTGGGGGTTGAAAGGGGGTGGTGGGGGGGAGAAAGGGATGACCCACTTCTAAAAACCCTTTCATTACCAAAACGTTTTTTTTTTTACATTTTGATTCTCAGCTTCTCTTAACCTTTTCAGTGCCAGTCCTATGTAGCAAACACTCCTGTGTATAAGTATGTTAGGTGTTAAATCACCATACATTACTAGTATTCATTGTTTTACATTGTAGCAATATTTTTAGAAACAAAACTGACAAACTAACAAACAGACAAACAAAAAAAAGCAAAAATGTTTCATTTATTTCCTGCTATACTTTTAGGTGAAAAAACAAACCAGACAGATCCTGTGTGCATGTGTGTGATCCAGTGTTCATATGTTTTATATGTAGTCTAGCAGAATGGATATTTCTGTCACTGATCATAGTGTCTGTGTCCCCCAACTCCAGCTGATCAAAGATGACATTGTTATAGAATGCGCATCTCCAATTCAGCATCCAGAGGAGAATAGCCATTCTTTTGAATTATTTAACCATGGGTATAGTTCAGCAAGAAACAGGACCCAACTGTAGAAAGAGTGCAAATTTAACCCTTTGATGACCACACTAGAGCCTTGCACGCCATGTATTCCTAAATTTGATGAAATGTACATCATACACCTATCCATAAATATAGGTATATCTATATAACGTGGCTATCTATACATCGTTTGCATTTAATTAAAACCGGCTAGCCATGAGCTATTATTATGAAGTGTGCCGAAATCAATTTTTTTTTTCCTTTAGAGATTATCAAACGCAAGTGGCTGCTAGTGAAGTGTCTTTAGATTTTTATGAGACAGGGAATTCAATTGTGACCAGAGATAGTTTTAAAAATGTCAGCAAATCTGCAAGATCTTCCTATTTCATCAATTCTTTTACCCTCGAGCTCAAGTTCTAATCTGCCGTCTGTTAAATTTCAATCAATAAAAACATATCTGAAAAATAATAATATTAAATAAAATACAGGAAAAGTGTATTTTGAAATCCTGATTTTACGTCATAACTATGAGCACTTATTGCAGAGAATTGTTTCAAGCAGTATGGGGAAAGTGCAATTTTTATGGCTGGAGTTTTTTTTTACTGTTTTTTTAATGTTTTAATTTTTTTAGAAATAGGAATTGAGTAACACTATTCTATAGAATTTACATCACATTTCAATATTCGTTTAATTTCTAAAACACCTACGTGGTCCACGAGGCTGTGCAATGCATATCAGCAAAATTTATCTAGAAATTGGAGGTTAATTATAGAGTAGAAAAGTTGTGGCAACGTGGCAATTAACTTGCAAAAAGTTTGGTCAAAATTGCCAAATTGGGAAAAATGTTCCAATTCCTTGTGTGGCTATTTTTTATTTTTTTTTCATTCTGGCTGCTTTGGCCTTCAATTTAGGAGTTTGCAGTCAGTACACAATTTACTGGATATACCCTTAGATATTTACAGCTGTGTGTTCATAGTCTCGGCTTAATTTATTAACTGCAAATGAAAATATAACTGAATCTCGTTATTATGCAGGGAGTTCAATAGAACACTGAGATTTAAAAAAAAACCAAAAAAAAAACCTCTCCAGTTGAGTATTAAGGTAATTCTACATATACTGCAGTGCATTTGATTATTCAGTTTTATTCTTCAGGGTAAACCCCTCCCCCCAAAAATCTAAAAAAATATTATTTTCTAGATATTGTGCTATAATAAGTGGATCTCTTCAGAGTGTGATATTTTCAGCCAGTTTGAAAGGCAGCCATCACCGAAAACCTACTTACGCAAAGAGGTTAAATAAATAGGA